GCCCAACAGTCTGCGGCGGACGGAGATCAACTGGATATCGACAACGATGATATCGACGATACGAACGTTCCTTTCGAGCCTTTTAAGGATTTATGTAAGCGCCGGTTCCTATGGTACTACGACAATTACCTCCTTGCTGTGCAGAAGGCAAAGACCGAGGTCAAGGACCACCAGGCGTTTGTTCGCATGCCGTTTGAAGGTGCTAGCAACACCATGGATGGCAAGTTCAACTACACAGAATTGGAAAGACGTCTGCGGAATGTCAAGGCCGCGCTTGACAATGAGCTCGTCAAGTGGGCGACGGATGGCGAGGTTGCGATCGAAAAGGAAATGACACTTTCCGTCAACTTGCGCCACCAGTATGAACAAGTGGTGCAGGCATTCAAACGTCAAGACATTCCTCACGACGTCCAGTTGGAGGACAACAATCCTTTCGTTTGGATCATCACCTATTTCGGGCGTCCAATGACGAACCTCGACGGTGGCCTATTCCGCTTCAAAATCCACTTCAGTACTAAGTTCCCCGAGGAGCAACCTCGAGTCAAGTTTCACACACGCATTTTCCACCATCGCATTGCAGAAGACGGGACAGTGTGCTATTTCCCGAACTCACTTAGGAAGGAGGACGTTCGAACTCACATCGAGGCTGTGTTTACGGCACTGGAAGAAGAAGATCCGGCTTACGACCCTCGAACTTTGGTACACCCTGAGGCGCACACCCTCTACTGGGGAGGTGCCGAGGCGCGGAAGAACTACAACAGGCGGCTTCGTAGATCTGTGCAGCAGAGCATGGAGTAAGTCGCTCTCGGAATCTTGCCCTATGTTTCCAAGCTAAACTTTTCAGTGACTTTTGATATTGCTTCTCATGACCACCTTTAGGCTAAGGCACATCACCACGGGTGCGCGGGTGTTCACCACGCGACCAACGCGGTACCAAAGGTGGACATTTTTCCGGTTATCGGTTTCCCCGGTCATGACGGGGATGGTAGTGAAAATTGATCTTGGCTTGTCCAAGTTCAAGTTGCTTTCAGAGGGCTGGACGGCGTTAACGGCATAGGAATCATGCATATTCAGGAACGGGCTTGGGATTGTCCCGCTAGACTCCAGTAGATACCTCGGATAATGACGCGACGAAAGTAGCTACGTTCGAAAGTTGATATCGTTGTTTTTCTTCTTCTTTTTCTTCTTCAGACTCGAAATGGAAATATGGCCCTGGCTTAACACATCAAAACGCCTTCCTTTCCATGCACCCTATTCATGCTTAACGCCTCGTAATCTCATGACCTCAGTAGAAAAGCATCAATCATACATCCATTCCCGGGATGTTTGTTCCGGCAACCTTGCCTCAACCGGCTTTTCTCAAATCTTTCGGACGGAAGAAACGTCACGTCTCATCGCTTGCTTCCCCTTGCCTTCTTCTCGATCCTGTCCTTCCCAGGTGTGTAAGGGGCCGCGACGCCGATGAAGGGTCTCTGGTTACCTCCGGGCTCCCCTTTGAACTCGTATGTCCCGCTGGGTCCTAACGTTGCCGGAGCGCCTTGGCTTGGTCTGGCCAGCTGGTCCGCATGAATCTTGTCGAGAGACTCGCTGACGACGGCATATTGTGACCAGTTGATGGGCGGACAGCGCACCACGTTCTGGGGCTTAGGAAGTGACTCCCACGGCTGTGGCGGTTCCTTCGCCTTGCCTTGCGCGGCACTCCCATCTGCTTTGCCCTCTGTCTCGTCGTCTGAGTCCGAATCAGACTCAGCAAACAGCTTGTCGCCTTGCGTGTGCACTTTGCCTGCGCCGAGGTCGGCGAGGAAAGCTGACGGATTTTCTACGGCGGCGTTTTTTGCGGCGTTGAGCCCTTGGATATCGGCGGCGGCCTTTCTCGATTGCATCTGGAGGATGGAGATGGCTGACTTGAGGGCGAGGACATCGGGGTTGGAATCAAAGTCGATGGGTTCGGGACGCGGAGGGGGGATGGCGGTAGCGGCGGACGGCTGGGAAGAGTGGGTGAGGACAGGGCGGTCGGCAGCGAAAGGGGCGGGAGGGTCCGGCAGACGGGCCGGGGGTAGGGTCGGGGTTATGGGGCTGATGGGGGGCCGGGCGGGGGATGAGGAGCGAGAGGATCGCGGAGGGGTCTGCTGCGCATGTGGTGGGTTTGTTCCGCCTGCCGAAGAGGTTGTGGCAGCAGTCGGACCAGCAGCCGCAGACGTAGATGGCGCGGGTGCCGGCGCACTCGATGTGCGCGGTGAGATCGCGTCTGTTTGTATCGTGAGTCCGGGCATAGTTGGGAGAAGGCTTGCGGCTCGCTCTCGGGAGCAGCGGTGCTTCTTGGTTTGTTTTCTTGTGGTCGGCGCCTGGGTGTGTGAGCGGGAGAATCGAAGGTTGAAAGTTGGAATGTGTTTCGTCTCGTGGTGGGGTTGGGAAGGAGGGGGAACGGGAGTGCAATCGGAGCTGAATGTGCACCGTGCGTTTAGCGCGCCGCGCGTGCAGATGGCTCGGGAAGTTTGTCAGCTTCGGATACTAGCGCCGTGCAGGGAAGGCTGCATTCAGCTTAAGTCAGGTTCTCAAGCAGGTGCCTGTGGGCTTGTGTGCCCGTGAGAAGCTTCTAGAGAGGAACTGCGTTGTGATATGATACGTTCGACGATGAGGGCGCAGAGCGGGCTGCGTAAGCCAACGGACGTAGGGGTCGGGTGAACTCAAAGTGCGTGCGCCAAGCGACGGTTTCTGTTTGTTGACTTTGCTGGTGTTGTTGATGTTGTTGGAAGTATTGTCCTACCTACTTGTGTGGCCCGCCCGATTCATTCAACGGATTCCAAAGTCAAAGGTTGGATGCAAGACAGGGAAATGAAAACAGCGCTCCGAGGTTGACGTTCAAATGCAGGTTCGCCACTGGCTAGCTCGATTGGAGCAGGGCGCCTGCAGAAGATTGTCAAGATCGGAATCACGTCGCCGACGGGAGGCAGGCAGTGCACGGTCTACCGGTACCTTACTACCTACCTACCTAGGCACTCGGTATCCGTAAGCACATCTTAGAAAGAGCGTGCACGTGCCAGGTGCTCCATTCATTTTCGTCAGGGTCCGAAGTGCAGAGGTGGACTAGACTGATTGGCTGTCCTCCCGAGACTTCTGTTCAGCCGCTATTGTGAGGAGAGTCGCCGATGCAGAAATCGACGATGAACCTCTTTCCGGAGAGAAACTTCATGGGCATTGAGTTCACGTCCAACAAAAGAGCGTATTCTCGAATCTCGATCATCTGGCGATGACGTCGAAAGCACTGGTGCGGTTCAGGTCTAGCAGTTCAGCTTTTTAGCCAGAGCTTCTGAGAATCCGTCCAACGTTGTTCTACCGTACGTCCGTATTCCCGCACAGCCCATGGTAGATTTCCGAGCTTGCCTAGATTCGTGAGAAGCTCGACGGCCTCTTGAAGATGTGATATTTTACCTAACGCAGGAGAGGGCACATCTGGTGCACCGGAACGAGGAACGGAATCCGCGGGCGGCAAGTTGAATCTGTGATACATCAGATTGTGGCTGCAGCAAGAAAACTTGCTTCTTCCATTTTACAGCCCACGCTATCGAAATCTCGATATGACCCAGCACCACAACTCCGAATAAGGAAAACTTGTCGCAAAAGACCCGCCAATATCTAGCTTGAACTCGGTCTGTCTTCAACATTGAATCTAATCGGCGAAGATTTTGTTTCATTTCTTTCTGGCGATCATCAGTGCATTCTTCTTCCTTCGAAACATCCAACTACCGCACAAACGGGCCCCCTCAACCTGCTGGCCAGTAGACAAAGGATGCTGCGCCCCGATACGGGAAGCCTAAAGTGTGTGAGATGCATCTTGGTCCCTGTACCATACCGCTGGGTTGGCCGTGCTTTCAAGCTGAGAGCACCACATTCCCCATCTCAGACGGTCAACAAAGGACGAAACGACACGCCGTCAAAGGGCTAGCAGTTGGTTTTGCTGGGCCAGTCTTGCGTTTTGGTTCCTGAGACACTACGAGACACCTAACCAAGGGATGACTAGGTCGACGGTCGACCGAGGAGTCCGACGGTGGAAGTCCCATTCCTTGCATGGACCCAGCCCTCGAACAACTTCAGGCAAGGGCTCTGCTCATAGTTCAACGATGCCGCAGTAGTGGAGCGGCCGGGGAAGACGTCACTCATCTCGTGAGGGTGCCCTAACAATGAATACTAAACGTCGTTTCTTATGGATTACCGCACAGTCTTTGCCAACGTTGGCGTTAGCGTATGATTAGTGACATGTGGCGTCCAGTCGTATTGCAGGGCTGGCATATCGACAGGGTCGGGTAGATGGTGTCCGTGATGCCTCGCTCTTTCTGCCCTCAACATGGCAGGAGCTAATGGGCACGAGGTGCTGAACGCCGGGGTGGCATGCGGGACAAGGCATGGCATCCACCAAAAGAAAGCATGGAAGGTGCAGGCTAAGCCAATCCGCCTGCTCTTTCCTGAGAAAAACATGGGAGAGCGTGGAAGGTAATCAACACGAGCGGGGCAAGAGCACAAGAGCGAGCCAGCGAGCTGCGAGCATGCATGGCTTCTGAGACCTTTCCGTCCCATGCTCTTGTTTCCATTCCGCTTCTTTTGGGCCGGCGTCAAATTACACGTTACTGCCACGAGGTCCTTCTTTCTCTCTCTGCTGATCTTCTCTACTTCTACTCCTCGCCCGCCAGTTCTTCTTTCTCTTCTCTCTGACACGGCCTCAACTGAATATACAGATTTCTCAACACTCAGTTCCAAAACACCCAACTCCTTTGCCTCGAATACTTGTTATCAAACTCTACCATTCCTTTTCGCCTTCTCCGCACACATATAAATCCTCCAAGCTACCTTCACCTTTGCCCTATACGGAAATTGTGTGACACTGTCCGTCCTCACCTACCAAAGAATACTGTCTGGCGTCTCTTCTGCAAATCTCGGGGAATTCGGGCGTCTTTTTCGAATGTTTGAATAGCAGTTTGACTAGTCTATTCTCTCACCGAACAATGCGGCTCTTCCATCGACATCGAAACAAGCAGAAGAACCCGCCTCAACCTATCCAAGAAGACCTGCTTTCACCCTTCGACTCACCAGCACCTTCGCCTCCCATTCGGAATTTCTCATACCCAACCGCGGCCTTACGACCACCGTCGGGACCCTCCATCTTTTCATCTGCACAGCTGGGTATTCACCTACCTCCTGCCGGTTTTGGAGAAGCACGAACATCCACACCTAGTGGCCTCATCGAGCCCCCGTTCTACTGGGCGTCATCGTACAGACCCATACGGGAGGAAGAGATCGAACCATCGACAGATTCGCAGTCTTTCATTTCCGATACTGGTCCAGAGGCATTTGTCTACGGCTAGGGGCCGATTCCAGAGAAGAAGAAAAAGAAACGGCGAAGTCTACTCGGAATCTCAACACCACTGAGAACCAAAAAGATCATTGAATCCGAAGGACTGCCCCGAATCGATAGAAGTGCGCCGCAAAATCCTGACCGAGATTCTCTTACTGGATCTCAAACTACTCATCCATCAGCTCGGGCTATCTTTGAAAGCTCACCTAAGAAGGCGTCTCCTCAGAAGCGCGCTTTTGTTCTCGGTCACAAGTTCGCCAAGTCAGTCGATCTTGCATCCACCCACCTACGCCCGCCGAGCCCACTTCGCCCGGCATCTAGCTCAGGAATAGCAACAGTCGACACGCGAACTGCCCCTCATAGGATCGGGCTAGCGATAGACGAAGAAGATAACCATCCAGGAACATTGCTCGATCTCTCAGACGACGAGATGGGTCTCAGACGCAGAATCTCGGAGATGGATTTGAGAATGTCCCCTCCGAAACGCATGTTCTCCGACCATTCTCAGACATCGGAGTACAGCGCTTCTACAGTTAGTGTCAGTGGAAGCCCTACAAAGAAGAGACGAAGTGATAAGACCAAACCCAAAGACGGCAAGCATCATTGGGTGAGCCAGCTCAAAGACTGGTTCAGTACTGGCGAGCCGTCCTCTCAAGACTGGAAACAGCTCAAGAAACAAGAGTACCACAAACATGGGATCGCGATGAATGACCCAGATGCCAGCGCAAAGCTGCACGCTCCCATTGGAGCAATTCCTGAAGAGGCCATCAAGCCTTCCAGCGGGCCTGATCCCGAGACGATTGCCAAGAAGAAGTTTGCCAATCGAAAGCAGGTTCGCCAAGCATATGGCGGTTGCGAGAGAATCTCCGGCTCTGTTTCTTCTGAGTCTTCGGCGGGTAGCAGGGAGGTCAACCCTATTGCCCCATGGGCATAGGCGTGATATTCAACAGGCTGAAATTGGGGAAGGGGCATGCCTTTATTTGTGACACGGCAGACGCGGGAGTATGTGGATTGATGAACGAGACAACGACTGAAAGATGATGATGATTTGCTTGAATCGCGTTTGCATTATACCTGCTTCTAGATGCCACGGCAATGAGCCTGTCACAGAAGCTACGGCGGAATTTTCAAACTTTGTTGGCCGTTCGTGCGCCACAGGATGGAGGGCCTGAAACGACTGTCTTTAAGAGTACCATAGTCTGATGAAAGCGGAAGATTTCCCACTATGCTCCTTGAGTGCCAAATTCACATGCCAACGTAATGTTCCCAATAGTTGACGGCTGGTGACGGTCACAGAGGACGTTGAAGGTACATGCGTACTTGACATTGAATTGTCAGTAGTCTTATGATGTGGAACTTGTATCCGTTACTCTGTAGATGTATTGACGATGAATAGTTCCTATTTGGAGATCTGGAGCAGTCGTGGGGCAGGAAATTGGGGCAGTCACAAAATGTATCGCAATATCGGTCCCCAATCGCGGCATAACTCTACAAACTTGCCGGAAGTCATGTAGGGCACACTGGGGTGGGACGATTGAGAGATTTAGTCACGATGGGATTCACCAGTGGTGTGGAGGAGGCCTACCCGTCAAGATTGCGTGAGTGACAGCTCGATCGCATGCGGTTGGTTGGTTGGTCAAGTCGAACACCAAGACACCACTTGATGCTCGTGTTAGCTCAGGCATGGAGCTGAAAACTGTCATTGGCACCCGCAGATGCAGATGCATTTGCAGGACAGCAAAGAGCGGCTGGCTGGGTCACCACCACCAAACGTTGAATTCCCTGTTTCTTTCCATGCTGCCCAAAGTGAGGCGCGAGCATTTGCTTCTCGACAACTCGCTCCCGCGTTGGCTACCACCGCTTCGTGAATCCCCCACGCTAGGCCGGAGCTTAGCTCCGAGTCGGGTGTGGAGATTTCGGACGTGCAGTATGCTGAAGCAGTAACCAGTGGCCAGCTCCCCCGACTGGACTGCTGGAAAATGGGGCCTTCAAATCGGCGATCCTCACGGCGCCAGCGCCGTGGTTGTTTTCCCCACCTTTCCGCTTTCGGTGACAGCGCTGTGTGTCGCGTTCCCCCAATTGCAGAGGATGACGTACATGACCAGGAAGCTCTGGCCTCTGCCCTCTGGTGAGTGGTGGTTGCAGCATTGATTCGATGAAGCTCTGGAACCCCCCCTGCCGTCATTGAGACGTCTGTGAGCGGGATGTAAGTAGGTATTAGTGCCTAGTCCACGGTCGTTCGTCTTAGCTGCTTCAGTCTACCGCCATTTACTTGGACGTGTGTCCCCCAGTTCTCAGCTTTCTCCCTCTTTCTCTCCCTCGTATTCTTCCTTTTTTGCATCGGTTTTCTGTGCTTTTCGGTCAAGGTTGCATTTACGAAAGATACCCTGCCGCATATCACTTGTGCCACTTGGTGCGAACATCCCCCCCGTTGTCCAGGCCTTTGACGATAGCTACGACACAAAACGCCAGCCATGTCTTCGCTTTGGGGTTCGAGGAACAAGAAGGACGACGATCAGGAGGTTCGTGATGGACCTGGTCCTCCGGAAGAGAGAGGTTCGAATGAGTACGCGGCACGGGAACCCGATGAACACACTCGGCTCCTACCGAACCGGCTCGACAGCGACAACCGCCAGTATTTGACGCCCGACGACCCGGCGGTGTCTCCTTACAATCTGTGGACGGTGCGATTGCTGCGATGGGTGACTGTTCTCTTCACGGCCCTCACTTTCACGTGGTGGACTCTGACTTTGGTCTCCTCCTTCGTTACGCCGCCTGGGATGCACACCCGCGGTTCCGGATTTTACGCCTTCAGCTATTCGAGCGTGGCACTGTTCACGCTTCTGTTTACTCTCGTGTTCTTTGCGGCTCCGTCCAAGGCTGTCCGGGTTCTGGCCATCTTTATGGCTCTCATGCTACTTGTCAACATGATCCTCATTGTTGCGGTGCAGAAGAACCGTTACGAAGAGGCTGGAGTGGGAGTTGCGAGTGTTGTCTGTAAGTTGAGAGTTTGGCATCTGATGTGACCGGTCCTTTGCTGACAAGGCCACCCTCAGGGGCATTCGTCGTGAGCTTGTGGGCACTCGCCTGTGACCGAACTGTGAAATGGGGCAAAGCTGAAGAGGAGGAGAGGCTGACTGGCCGCGTTGAGACGAGACGCACAGTCTGGGAATGGACCGAGGTGCTCATCTCAACGGTGGCCTATATCGTCCTGTCTCTGGTCATCATTCTTATCACTGCCACTCTGATTCTACGATCTCTTGATGCCGGGTTTGGCCCGCCGGGCGAGCAGTACTGGGTCGATGGCGACCAATACCGCATTCACGTCTACTGCGATGGGAACGGCACCGATGCCGCGGGCAACAAGCTACCTACTGTTTTCTTCGAGGGAGGTGACTTGCCAGTCGAGAATGGACTGTGGCAGTTTGCGCAAAACGCTCTGAAGAACGACTCCATCTCAAGATACTGCTTCGCCGACCGTCCGGGCTACGGATGGAGCGATACCGCCCCCAGCCCTCTGTCAGCAGGCATGGCAACTGACGCCCTTAGCGAGGCTCTCGCACGAGCTGGTGAGAAGGGCCCTTGGATCCTTGCCAGCGCTGGAATTGGTTCCGTTTACTCTCAAATCTTCTCCTCTCGACACGGCAGAGAAGTAAACGGCCTTCTTCTGATCGATCCGCTTCACGAAGACCTTCTTCACCGGGTTTCTGACCCCGGTAGAGGCTTCTCCTACTGGCTTCGTGGCGTCTTCTCCCCTCTCGGAATCGAACGTCTCCCAGGCGCCATCTTCCGTGGACGCACTAGCGCAGACCGCGTCTGGGGTCGTTCGGCCAGACAGAGTGGAAAGTACCTGTTCTCAAAGTTGCAGGAGAGTCTCGTAGCTGATTCACTCACCAAGCGCGAGGTGATTAGTAGTAAGGCCATCCAGTACCCGAATACCCCTCTGGTGGTCATCAGCTCCGGCGTCAACATTCGCAAGGACAGCGAATGGGAGGATAAGCAGAGAGATTTCAGCCATCTGACGAGAAACCTGAAGCATTGGGATACGGTCGACGACGCGCCTCACAACGTGTGGGAGACGTTGGATGGACGTCAGAAGATTGAGAAGAGACTCCGGCAAATGGTCCATGCGTGAACCTATTGATAACGGCGTGGCGGGCCTTGGCATCTAGTTTGTTGGATCGGGGCGAGTTTGAACGTTGTAGCCGTACGGAGTAACACAGACACGGTCGGGTGGCCATCCCTGAGTTGGGTTTAATTGCGGTGCGAGCGACAGCTAGGAAATGAAATGATGAAAGCGATTTGATTTTCGACATACTTTGTGTGTTGTGGAGTTGATGGTAATTGTCTGCGTCGTGTCCGTGAAAAGAGAAGCAAAATGACTCGTAGGTATCTTTGCTAAGGTGAAGAAGTTTCGGCTCTGCGTCGTATTAGCGGCTCGATAGGCGGCTTGCATGACTTGCGAGGTTTCCGAAATGCTTTAGCGGGATGCCTTTCATCGACCAAGTTGCTCGTTCCTCATCGATTTGTCTCGGAGAGATGTCTCATGAAGGAGGAGAAGAGAACTTCTGCTGCATCGGACAGAATTGTGTAGAGAAAAAGGCAAGCGGCGTCAATGCCACGTGCTGTATGCAACGGACAAGGCAGTTAAGTTTTCTGGTTGAAGAGATTTGTTATCCACACCTCTTGTCTTGGACGGGATCTTGCATGTGCTGTTTGCTTGTTTTTGTTGCGGGAAGCTTTTCTTTTTGGCTGGTCGCAGGGAACAGCTCCGGCTGGACAGTCCGGGTGTTGCTCACGCGACATGTGGCCTCTCTGAGAGTGCCTCCTAAGTTCTCGGAGGAAATCTACAAGACACATGGTCAAAACTTTCCTCGGCCTTGTTTCTACTTATTGCCACTGCTGCTATGATTGCTTCACATTTCTCATGTCTTTCTCACTGAACACGATTTAGACAGCGTATGGCAACTATGATACAACAATGACTTTGAGAATGCGGCTCCTTGTCTGTTGACCGGCCCAGACATCTTATTTTGTCACCCACATGCTTACCGCAGTGTAAGGTACCTTTTGAGATGGGATGGCCAAGTTGCGGCTCGCCAAGGACGCTGCTGCTCAAGTAGGCTAAGGTTCGGACAGCTTGATAGATTCGTCCCATGTCTGAAACTTAAGGGCTGCACATCATCATGTAAGTAGCGTCTGAACTCTGAACCTTGAATTGTCCGATGTGTATGCAAACCCGTGAAATCAAGGGGTACATGAGACTGCGTATCGCATTGCATTTGATCTGTGACCTACACGTGCGACTTGCTAGGCGCGACCACGACTCCATAGACGACCGGCGACCGACCTTACAAAGTTGCTTCTACCCAGTACCTCTTACTGCAGTAGCAGCTGAAGAATTGATGCCAGCGGACCAGCCCGTGTTGGGTTGGAGCGAGGTGGTGGTCAGGAATTAAAACGGATACGAAGTGAATTATTTTATGGAAACAGGTCGTATGCAGACTATGAACACGAGGGAGAATTTACGAGCCCACTCAACCTTGAAAGGAAACAATTATCTACGGATAGTAAGCGGCCAATTCACTCGGTTCGCTAACAGGTAGAACTGTCAACGGGCGAGTACGACAAGTTCGTGTTGAGAACCGCTCAAGGCCGAAGAGCCCCTCCCCAGACCCCCCAGACCTCCCTCTTATTTTAAAACGCGACCCAATGACGGCAATGCCTGCGCTCTCTCGTCTCCGCCCTTCACCCATTCTCACCACTCAGCAGCTTTATTCTCGCCCAGCAAAGAGGACCCCGAAAGTGAGACCATCCAATGCTCCCCCAGGGCCCCAAGACCCGACTCAGTCGTCCAGCAGGAGCCCCCAACTGCAACGGCACAACGGGTCCCTCCCACCTGGTGCACCCTGGGCCTCGGAGCTGGAGAATGGGACCCCAAAAATAGTGTGGAATTTGCCTTCGGCCGGCGCCTAAGTATTAGTGCGGTATACCTACTGCGTAGGCCACCCGTACCCAGGAACGGTAGGGACAAGGTCCCTAGAGAGGTTCCGTGCTCTTGGGGCTTGGGATTCCAATCCTCCCCGGACACTCAACCCGGAATGGCCGCCCTACAGCCCAGCGAGGGAGTCAAGCTTCGCCATGGAGGGAAGGACGTGCTCGTGCTGCGACGTGCCTCTGGTGTCATGCTGTGCGTGCGGCGTGATAATGGCCATGTACGATGTCCCACGATGGAGATGGCGTGAGGTGCACTGAGGTTGACAGACACCTGCTCACTTATGTCTCGTTTGCGTTGCCGAATGGGTAGGGCAGCCTTCCCGATCAAAGTGCCCGTCCATCAAGTTGATAAGACCCATGTCTGGACACCTCGACAATCGCCTTGCTGCCTTTGTTTTTCTTTCCCTCCCTCATGCAGGTAAAATGAGCCGTAAGCCAAAGTTCCTATAGTCGGAAGAGAATCAGTACCGCAATCAGAATCAGTGGAGAAAGAACAGATACCATCCGACCCCTCTTGGGGATTTGCAAACGATGCGGTTGCCGTCCACTCGAGATTGGTGCTGATACTGGGGCAACCTGACCTGACAGCCGAGTACGTACTTGAACCATCTGGTGTGCCCGCCCTGCTGTACCTCCATTAACGCCCCTCCACTGTCTGGTACAGAAGAAGGTACCTGTTCTGTCTCGCTTGTGACGTGCAACCACGTCGACCCGGCCTGGTTGGGCGGGGATCGGAAAGGGGGGTTGAGTTTGTTGTAGTGTCAATGACGGCCCCTGGCCACTTAAAGGGCGGACTGGAGTCTTCAAGGGTCCACGCATGAGGGGGGAAGTAGCGTAAAGTTCCTAGGCAAGGAACTTGGAGACAGACGCGCTGTACGCACCGTGGTAAGGTACTTCGAGGTATTAGCGAGGAGTCGGTCCAAGACAACTTGGAAATCTCACCTCACCACCTCACGTATCCGCACTTCACGGGCGCCTGCCCACATTCAACTCCCCCATGCCTTTTATTGCATCTTTTGCAACTTCCATGCTCGAGGACGCTGGAACTTCCTTCCTCGACGTGGTGCATGTGGCCGTCCTTCGCCTGGAATCCGCATGGTAATTATTAGTGAAGAAGCCAAGACTCAGGTCCAGTATCCGTACCTACCTTACCTTCCCTGTGTCGTCGTCAAGCTCCGCACCCGCAGACCCGCGCGTCGACTGCACTGCTCTGCACCTTACCTGCGTGCCTGCCTACCTTACCTTACCTTGCCGCTCCGCACCTTCCAATACAATACCACTGCGTACCTATTTGCGATCTCTCCGAAACTGAAACCCCTTGCTTCTCTTGAATAACCCAACGTCGAAATCTCACCCCATTTGGGCTGAAGCCACCGACCGCCTTTCTTTCACAGTCACGGTCGCATTTGCAGTGACGCCAGCAGCAAGCACCACCAACTTACCTGCTGCAAGGCAAACAATCCCGATTCGTCTGGGCTCGTTGTGCCAAACCCAGACCTTCTCCAACCTTGAATTGTCACTGCTCTCGCTGCAACTACCTTGCTTCGCACCCGCCGGGCTGACAGACGACTACCTACCGCCAAACCTTGGGTAGGCCACTTCGCACAATTATCACGGGTGCCGCGTCCTTCTCTCAAATCGACTTGCCAACTGTCAAAAATACAAGAACCGCACTTTCCGCTCACGAGTGGTTGCGGACATTTTTAGCAGCTTCGACTGTAGTCTGCTCTGTAACTCTTCGAGGTATTTCAATTTCTGGTCTGGCTGCTGATACCCATACCTCCTTCCTCCTCCAACTACATCCCACCGGAGAGGCAGCTCACGCCTCCTACCTTGCTTGACTTTGCTGACGCTGCCTACTTTGCGCAGGATCCCACCTACTCCTATGGTTTCGATATTACCGCGCGTCGATAACGATTTCAAACAATGGAGAACGAGCCGCCTTCCGCGACCTCGAGGCGGGGTCGTCTAATGGGGAAGCTCTTTGCCCTCAAAGAGAAAGATCGCAAGCCCACGGCCGAAGAAACGGGCAATAATATCAATGATTTCCTCAACGGCCCCTCTGATACCCTGCAGGTCAACCATGCCTCGCCTTCCACCGCCATCCCCCAGCTTTCGAAGCTCGATATCTCCTCCGCTACTCGCTATCCACAAGCCTTGTCTGTTGCTAGTCACTCACAGCAAAGCCTGAACCCCCCGAACCAGTACTCCGCCCGCAGCCCTGGCCTAAGCCCGGGCATCCCACCTCGGAGCCCGCGGCGTAGCAACCGAAAGGGCTTGACCGTTCGTTTTGTGGACCAGAAACCCGACATCATTGGCGAAGGTGGTGATGAGTCGGAGATCCCAGCCATTGAGGTATCGAGGCGCAAGAAGCAGCGACCTCCTCCGTCTCCACGACGTACACCCGTGGCTGCTGTTCACGACTCCCCGCCGAGAGCGCCCTCAGCGCCGAAAGAGGACTCAGACTTCATGCCTGGCCGCCTGCGACGAACACAGACAGGCTTCTCCTCTGTCAGCAACGAGCCCATCGAGCCCAGAGAACCCCCTCCAGCTTATAGAGAGGTGGCACCAGGTAACGCAGTTTCGGCGCCATTCCTAGACACCCCGACCACCGCGAAGAACGAGAATCGAAAGTCCTTCATCGAGCACCAGCAGGCGGAGATGCGACAAGCAGAGGGCAAGGCATTTGCAGAGGCCGCACGTCAAGCTGAGCGGGAGGAGCATGGAGGCCAAACGCCTCTCGTACCGCAGATAAACGCGTCCCCAACCAGATCTCCAGTGCCACCTAGCAAGGTGCCTCTCCAGCCGAGATCCCCAGATGACTACAGAAAGCCTCCCGAGCAAAGCCCCTCATCCATATATTCCAGCAGCACCGAATTCAGCCAGCAGCAGAACACAGCTGCCAACTTCTCTCGGCAGCCTTCTGTCAATTCCCAGTACCACATGGCGCCCCCATCTGCGACAGTTGCCTCGAGACAGGCATCCTTCAACTTGCATGATGCAGTCCTTGCAGTTGGTGATGACGCTCTGAACACATTCGTCACTCGCACTCGCCACTTTAATGAACTATTCAGGCTGCATGCCGAGACAATCAAACCCATTTCGGCCTGTTCACCTCTAGAGCTATCACGTGCTGCACTGTGGTGGCTCATCAAAGGACGCACTGCTTTAGAGGTTGCAGTTCGTGCACGACCTGGTAGTCCTCAAGACCAGATGCAGAACGAGAATGATCGCCAGCAGGCATATGCCAACCTTGCCAAAGGCTACTGGTTGGTGGAGGAAGCCATACCTGAGGTGCAGGAGAACAAGCGCCTTGCGCCCGATGCAGGCATTACTGAGATTCGCTCAACGTTGGTCGGCGCTCTCAAGAAGCTTGCCGTCTCAATGAAAAGAAACGGGTTCCTTCCGCCTGAAGAGGCGTTCTTGCCTCAGACCATCGACAAGTCTATCTGGGTTGAATATCCCCGACTGAGCGTTGACATGATTGCCTTGCTCACGGCCGATTCATCTGCAGCCATGACGGGTGTTGTTCGCACCCCCTCTGCTTTCGAAATTCTGGAGACTCTGCCCCCTAACGATACTGCTGAGAACTTCACATTCGGCAGAGTGAGCACGGACGTGTTCTTGATGGAACAAGGCATGGATTCTCAGAGATTCTACTTCCCTTGCCTCCTGACCATGGTCCGACCTAACAAACAGCATAACTTGGTCTTTGTTATCGCTAGTCAACACGGTGAAGTGAACTTACGAATCCAAGGAAATAAGAACTCGGGCCCGACCTGGGACGATGTCCGCTGGCGCAATTCAACCCACTCACTCGAGATCAAACTGCCCAGAGGCTTCATGATCGTCGTTCAGTGCTCACAGCAGGACTACCGAATGCTGTGGAATATGTACGATTTCGGTGCCCAGGTGCAGTCGACACTGTACGCTCGATCCGACGAGCACTGCGTTTTCCGTTCTACCCTTCGGTCATTCCAGTACTTCGACTCAAATCCCAATTCCCGGGCGTTTCCCAAGGAAGCCGTGGCAAATTGCGATGTGGCTCTGTTTGAGAAGATTCATAAGGAGCATGCTGCTGCAGGTCCACGCGCTTACCATAGGGGGTACAGAATCGTCGTGGTGACAGGCCCTCGCACGAGAACGCTGAGTGGTGTCAACCACACCTACACGCCACAGATGCCAATCCCCTTCAGTTTCCTTAGGTCGGACGGAGGTGATGCTGCCTTGATGCTCAAGTACGACAATGTCAACCCGGATCCGAACAAGCGCATAAAGGTGAGCATGGTGCTCTCGTTCGCTGATGAGGGGGAGCGGGCCCAGCTTAACAGCCTCATTTCCGGTACTTCTGTGCAAAAGGATGAGACGATCTACGCAGATGTGCCCCTTATCGGATTCTCCATGTCGACATCGTTGCAGGATAGCAAGTATCTTCCAGGCGTCAGCCAGATCCCCTGGACATCCCTTCGAGTCATCAACGAAGATGCCGACGACGAATATCCTCGGACAGTTCTAGCCGACAGATTACGAGTCATCGTTGAATCCAAGCAGGGTTTACTCACCGACCGAGTGAACCTGCAACCTGGCGAATTGCGAGTGAGGCTCGAGGTTCAAGAGACCAAGTCCCTCGTGGTGATGCGCCAGCCACAGTTCGACATGACTGCAAACGTAGCAGACGGAACTGTTGGCAAGGAGATCCCCAAGGCTATGACCGAAATGCTCCAAATGCTGCAGACGACCCAAACAATTCGCACTTACAGCTTCCCGACGCAGAAAGATCTCCATGCCTTCCAGGCTGCATTGACTGGATTCCAAGTCGTCTTCGACGGCCTCGCCGCTACCTTTGCAATTTCTCGACGAAGAATGGTGGTTCCGATCCACAAGAAATGGGAGGCGGGATTGACTCGAGTCCAAGTGGTGCAACAAGGCACAATCATGCAACTCCTCGCGTTCTTCCCAGACTTTCACCACGGCCAGTGTATGAACTTCGTTTTGAAAGGCACGGATGTATACGAGACGTTTTCGAGGAGCAGTAAAGCTGGTATCAAGTTTGTTGACGCCAAGTTCCCCATGCCACGCATGCCCAACGGCAGCGACGGACCGTCAGACGACATGGGATTCATTTGTCTGGACCTGCCGGACTTGCCGGGTGAGCACGACGACATCACGCTCCTCTTCGAAAACGAAGCGGGTAAGTTTTCCTAGACCCATTGCCGAATGGACTCGGGCTCATGCTAACTCCCGAACAGAACGCGACCGGCTGACGCAGTGTCTACCGGCCACCGTCAAGGGTTCCAGGTCACTGAGAGGCCGATAGACGAAGCCCACTCGAATTGACAAGTAAGGAGCTGTGAGAAAAGCGAAGAATTATCCAAAGCATTGTTGTGGTTGGAAGCAAGACCTGGACATTCGGAAAAAACAAGATACCCATCAATCTGTTCATCACATTGCTTTGCGAACAACGAATAGCGAGAAAGGAGAGATGGATTAAGCACGGGGACGGAAAAGGGCAGAATCCGCAGCCTGAAGATGGCGGGTGGATTTGGCACTGGTTTATACCGAGATGACAAGTGCCTAGGCACTCGGATGATGTGGCAGGTCTGGCCGGAAGACCCGGGACAGCCGCCATGGTTTGCGAGGCTAGGCATCGTTGGGAGCCTCTCCAGAGCGGCCTACTTTTTTTTTTGTGTGGTTTTAAGCAGCAACACGACCGGATCATCAGGGTTTGGTCACTGTTTGGCTGCCTGTCAGGATATCATGGTGGTTGTAGAGCAAAGGGCAGGCATCAAAGCATGCGCTTACGAGCAGCGTGCCTTTCCTTAGGTAGAAAGGACAACAGCTTGACAATGATACGCGTATTAAGTGACATACGACGGGTATCCGACACATACGATGGTGCCGAAAAACGCGAGTGACATGGGCTATGGTACCCGTGCGGGCCATTCGTCAGTAAGCTGTGTATGGAAACAGAGCTGTCCATTCAGTGGTCCACCAGACTGGAACGTCGTGGACCTCTTGGTCGAAGGGCGTGGGACTTTGAGGGTATGAGGTCTCGGTCTGCAACTCGAAGTGGTTAATATTGCTTGGAAGTAGCAGCACTGCCACAATTGACCTGCATAATGGGGGTGAGATGCCTGGGCACGCCAATCACCTGGGTAAGGTAGGTGACCTGGTCTTGTTGAGATCTTGTTCGGCGTTCTCCTCTCCATCTTCAACTGGGATGCTTCCCTTAGGTACCTAACATATGCACGTATAGACAATTGCTAGCTCGTTGTAGAGCATTTCATTTGGGTTGATACATATGATTTGGTCGAAAGCTTTCATGTATAAAATAGACGCGAGATGGGCCAGGTCCTCAAGATGAGATACCTTTCCGCATAAGTCTCAATAATTAGTACCCTGCAGCAGGGCGCACCGTGTAGTGGGCGAGGGATTCAAGCATTTTGAACAGAAGGGGGAGTCGCTCACTGCATGATTGGCTTATGAAGAGAAGCCGGCGGGCATGTGATTGGGTGCAGGGTAGCACAGCATTTGATGGTATTGAACATGGGATGGGACGGAAGAAAGGAGTGGAGGGGGGGAAGCTGGGGTGACAGACACTCCCGTGCGAACAGATGCGGATGCGCGGGTTGGCATCTCGATGGCTCGCTCGCTCCTCCCCGCCCGTTGTCACTTGTGGGAAATATTGCGGAAGTGCAGATGAACACCCCAGTGTTTTGAGTGACTCTTCATAAGGTGGTTCGGGTTCGTCGGGCTACTTTAGGCTTCTTCTTGGGTGCCATTGCACTGGACTTTAGAGATGATGACAGCTAGGTTGGGGAAAGCACGGCGAGGTAGGCAGGTGCACGGAGCTAATGGAACATGATGGCATTGGAGAAATGGACAAAAAAAAAGTTTTCCAATGAATGGCGCGACGTCATCACCCCTCCTCCTCCGCCGTCCTCTGTTGTGGGGTCCCCTCCGTACATCAGCGACGTAAGGACTGCATGGGAGCCCAGCCCAGGCCACTGGCGACTGTATTGGTGCTAACCATCACAGGTAGCTAAGAGCTGCTAAGGTAGGCGTGGAGGTAGCTTCCGTCTACGACCTTACCCAAAGTTGCCTCGTTTTGACACCAATCTGCTCTCGCCATTGACAATTGCTAAGGAATCTGCCAGGCAATCGTCATCTTGTGTCACCAAACTACATTGTACACGGTTTTGTGCTCCTTCCTTACGACTTCAGACATGGGAACTCATCTTTGACCTCAGTCTCTTCTCAAATTCCGGCCGTGCCTTGGTTAACCAACAACCTGGAACAGCTACCTACCTTCATCGACCTTCATCTGACATCCGCCTCACCCTTTCCGCTTCGCCCGGTCTCCCAGTGGGCGCCCAGTTACCTTTTTCATCCATTTTATTCTCTACAGCTCTGGTTTACGTTCCAGCTCAGGTTGTCAGAGGCGGCAACGCCCAATCGAAAACAGCAAGCGAGTGAGACATCGATAGGTCATCTTTCCTCCCGCCAGTGCCCTTCGCCAAGCGGGCCTCTTTTTCTCTCTCCAACCCTTCGCTTCTCTAAACTCAACATCATTAAACCCGACTTCTTTCTTTCCCACTTTTGCATCCGACTGATACGTCCCCAACCTTTATCCTCCCGACGCTTCCTTCGCCAGCAAACCCCTTGCCCCGGAGAAACTCAAACCATCTTCGGCTTTATCGACCAACAACTACTTTTAGTACGACAGGTTCCCACAAAGTCCACTGTTCAACTGCTGCCACTCTTCACTGCCGTCCCCTCGCTCTCGCTCGACTACGTACCGGGCTGCGAGGCCCCATCCTTTACTTGCCGACTCTACCCCTACTTGCAGCTTCAAGCAACCCGCAGACGCCTTTTAGGGGAGCACTGCCCCTCATTCCAGCAAGAAGGCACATCCCGGGCACCGCGCCGATAAGACCGATAGCGGTCTGAAAGACAACTGAGGGGCATCGCTGCACCCACCGCCCACCAAGAGCCAGTCGCAGTCATGGGTTTGGTCCATGTGCCAGGAAGACGCTCCAGAGCCTCCAGCCTCAGTGAGTCTTACCAGCCCTAGCGTCACTGCCTGGTCCGTTGTCTGGATAATACCAGTCGTCCCCTCCTCGTCGCGCCTGTTGTGGACTTCATACAGCGGCAAACTCGCGCGCCTTCTAACACCCTTTTCCCTTTACATACCCTTACGGCCCGTTGCCCGTTTCGCTATACCCTGCTTGTTTCCCTAGTCGCGTACCTTGGCTCTGGCGTCTTCCGGGAGCCGAAAAGCCTCCACTCCCACTCTCCAGACCTCTGTCGTGCGCAAATCGAAGAAAAAAAGTTGCCTCCAACCATGCTGACCTCTTGGCTTTCCAACCCACCAGCTAGCAATCGCTCGAGCATCGACGAGGCCAGAGGCGCTGCTGAAGATGACGACACGACTGTGGTCGAGGCCGACCAGGGCAACGGTGAGTGAAGCCTCTGCAAGAAACGTTGCGCCCGCATTTGCCTGCTCGCGGGGTGCTTCACGCGCACTCGGCTAACATGGAGTCCAGTGCTCGGCCACATCATCTCCCAGCTTCGTCCGGGAGCTGATTTGAGTCGCGTTGTTTTGCCGACCTTCATTCTTGAGCCCCGTAGTATGCTCGAGAGGATTACAAAGTCAGTAGTCTCCGGAAAAGATGCGGGTTATGAGACCTCCTTCGCTGACTATGTGCGTTTGTCGTAGCTTCATGTGCCACCCCGAAATGCTCCTCCCTATACCCGAGATCGACGACCCTGTACTACGATTCGTCTCCGTTGTCAAGTTCTACCTCAGTGGATGGCATATTAAACCACCGTCGGTTCTTCCGAGCCACCCGTATAAGCCGTATACGTTGCTAACCTGTACCCAGAGGAGTGAAGAAACCCCTGAACCCGATCCTCGGCGAGGTTTTCTCCTGCTACTGGGATCTGCTCGATAACACCAGGGCATACTATATCTCCGAGCAAACATCGCATCACCCTCCCAAGTCTAGCTACTTCTACATGGTCCCCGAGCACAACATCCGTGTTGATGGCACACTCAAGCCCAGGAGCAAGTTTCTCGGAAACTCGGCGGCGAGCTTGATGGAGGGCACAGCGGTCTTGTCGTTCCTGAATAGGGGCAAGGACAAGACAAAGGGCGAACGATAGTATGTTGGCTAGGAATCCGCTCGTGACATAATACGCTGACCTTGAGACCAGTATCTTGACACAGCCAAACATGTACGCTCGAGGCATTCTCTTTGGAAAGATGAAGTATGAGCTTGGCGACCACAGCTTTGTCCGGTGCCCAGAGCTCGATTTGGTCGCCGACATTGAGTTCAAGGTGAAGGGCTGGGTCAGCGGTACCTATAATGCGATTGGTGGCTCAATCAAGCATGAGAGCACAGGCGAGGTCCTTTACGAGCTCTCGGGCTTTTGGAACGATGAGATGTTTGTCAAGGATGTCAAGGTAGGCTCAGGATGATGCTGCAGTTTTGACACGTTGCTGACAGCCTCAGACCGGTCATAAGGAGATGTTCTTCAACGCTAGACGGTCGAAGCCCAGCAGTCCCCTGGTGCGGCCCATCGAAGAGCAGGATGAGCGCGAATCTCAGAAGCTCTGGGCACCGACAGCTCAGGCCGTAAAGGATCGCAACCATGAGCTTGCGACGGACGAGAAGACCAAGGTTGAGGACAGACAACGCGAGGAACGCGAGACAAGAGCTCGCGAAGGCGTTGAATGGAAGCCTAGGCTTTTCAGAGCTGTTCAGGGCGGCCCGGGTGGTCCTGAAGAGGGCGAGGAAGAGCTGGAGTGGATCATCAATGCTCATATGTGAGTACATCTAACTCTCACATCGGATCAAGAAATACTGACACAAAATAGTGACCACACGAACCCAGAGAAGCAGACTGAGCAAATTTTGGCCATATACCCTATTCTTCCGGGCCAGAAGCCTTCTACGACAAACGCCATTCCTCCCCATAAGCCCTCTGCGACAGCAGAGGCCCCAGCCCCGGCCCCGGCCCCCGCTCCGGTCGCTCAGCAACATGTTGGAGGCAATGACTTGATCGATTTCGGCGACGCGCCAGCTACCACTCCAGCAGCCCCAATAGCAACTGCGCCTGCTGTTCAGCCACCAAGCGGTATTCCTCCGGCAGCTCAGGAGGCGCGGAGTGGATCCAAGGACATCGAAGGGATGCTCAACAGCACCGGAACGCAAGCAAAAGAGGGACCATTGATGGACTTCACAGACATGAAGAAGAGCGTACCGCCGCTGAAGAGAGCCGATGAGAGTAACGACAGCTTCCATGATGCTTTGGAGTAGATCAGAGCCAAGCTATTCTAGGACGCACGTCCGTCCCTCTGGTTTTTGTTTTCCCCTCCCACCCCATCTGGCGAACCCCTTTTTTGCCAAACATCACATTAATTCACCATGGGAGGCGGATCTCTGGCTAGAGGGGATGGAGGAAAGGGAGGCTGGTCGGGGGGTAACAAACTATAAAGCTTTTGCATTGGCGAACACCCGGGGAAGGGGTTTGGTAGAAAAGGGATACCTCTGTAGATATGTATAGCATTGCTTACTGCTCAGTAATAACGGCACTCAACTGCGGAGAAGTTTTTTGGACATGATTCACTCCCAATATTCGAGGCAAGGGTTGATGATGATGCAGGGGTCGTAGTTACTCTTCGATTTGGAGGCACTACTTAATCTCACATGTTTTGTTACATGGTGCTCTGCCCTTTCAAGAGTTTCTCCCATAGTACCCCAACCCATCCCGGAAACGCCATAAACGCCGCTCTCACCCTCTTTTTTATTTGGTCTTCCAATCCACCCCTTTGAGACAGGTACGGGGGATGGGTATCAAATTCTCAATTTCTGGGGGTTTCGCCTTGCACTCTTCGTCTTCCTCTTCCTCCTTCTGCTGATTAGACCTGTCGAGACATGTTACGACATGCCAATGCCCGGCGGCCCGGCTTCCGGCAATCTCCAAACAGCCTGCTTTGTTTTGCTCAGCCGAGCTTCAATGCCAGAGTTTGATCATCGTCCGCATCCTTTGTCGTCTGGAAACGTCGCGCTCTGTTCCGCCTCATACGACAACGATACGCTTCAAACAAACAGCTTTCAATCGTTGTGTTCCCCTGAACCGAATTACCACCCTTTCTTGCTCTTTAGTACCGACGGCGCGTGGGTTCGGGGGTAGGCGAGCGAGACGGGCTCCTCTCGTCGCGGCCGCGGTCCTTGAGCCACTTCTTGGTGCTGAGGGTGAGGTCGCGGTCGAGGTCCTCGGAGGGGTTCTTGCGGTGGATGAAGTTGCAGAAGCCGCCGCGGACGCAGCCCTCGCCCGAGTTGAGGCGGCAGCAGGCCTCGCGGAAGTCGGTGACGGGGGAGAGCTCGCAGTATATGGGGCGGGCGGCGTACCACCGCGAGTTGAGGTCGTCGCAGGCCTTTTGGGCAGAGTCTTCGTATTTGAAGCGGGCGTAGACGTTTCCTATGAGGTCTGTGTGTCTTTGGTTAGTATACGATCATCTTCTCAAGACCACAAGAGAATGGGTGAGAGGGAAGGAAGAAGAGGACGACGACGCACGGTCATTGTTATTGTCGCACACCACGAGCTCCTCGAGCTCGCCGTACTTGCAGAGCTCGCACCAGATATCCTCGTAAAAGGCGTCAAAGTGGTTCTGCAGCTGGGACGGGTTCATGCGGTTCTTTGGGTCGTAGGCCGGGTTCTGGTAGAGGTTGGGCATGAGGATGGTCTGCGAGTAGCTGGGCTTGACGTGTTTTCTCGAGCAGCGGTCGCCGTGGCGGCAGGCGCCGATCTTGAAGTAGAAGGAGCAGTTGACCTTGTCGAGCTCCGTGCCGAAGATGGAGGCGAGGAAGTTGGCCATGGTTGCGGTTTAAGACTGTCGTCGCGACGTGGGTTTCGAGTGTGCTTGTATCTGATATGTAACTCCCGCGTGGTGAAGTGATGGACGATGGTTCTAGATGCTTGATTGCTCGTTGGGAGGGAGAAATTCTGTTGTCTCGTTTGGCGGCCGCGTTTTTTGATGGAGCTGCGGAAACGGGCTTGCTTGCGGCGCGACAAATGCGACGGACCAGAGGTTGGAATTTCTAGCAGCCTCGCGCGCCACGACGATTAGTAATGTTGAGGCTGGAGCTCGGCCTGTGGCTGGAAACGTGTGGCTCGAGCAGTGGTGGGTTCTAGGCAGTTCTTGCTTATGGAACCCCGCTGATTGTGTTCAGGGACTGGAATAAACAGAGTACGTACCGGCGTTGCCAGCCGATGGTCTAGAACGTTTTGGGCGAATTGTGTGGTTTCTCGTTGTTTTACGATAGAATCCAAACATTCCCAGGTCAGCCTTACAACGGCTTTTTCTCATTCCAGGTCCAGACAATGATCCTCGGTTCTGGCACAATTCAATGTTCCCCTCATCTAAACAGGCCATAGAGGCTTGATACCAATCAAAACGCCTTGCTCAACCTCATTGCAATGCTGGCTTCGACAAGTTGCTTCTTGAGCTCCTCATCTGAAACACTGGGTTCTCCTCAACCCAATGATATCGGACTACTAGTTGAAAGACGCCAACAGAGGGATCATCATTTTGGTCTAATGCTATGGACCGGCTTTCAGATTCGTTTGTGCGTCTGCTAGACTAAATGATGTTCTGCCCACCGTAACTAAAGGTTCACTCATCCGATGATGATGACTTGTCGACAGAAGTCAAAATTCCGAGGTGTACAGTCTAACCTCAGGTCACGAGACCACACTTAGATGGAAAATCAACAAACCCGCGCGTAGCTGAACAATCTCAATAAGGTTCCTTCCGAGAGATGATGAAAATATTCACGGTCTCCGGTGGGAAGACATGGTGAAACCAGTCGTTGGACGCGCTATCTCACTTCCCGACCAGTCGCCGCAGTCCCGCCGTTCCAGTCACTCTCGGACTTGAAGCCAAGCAAAAAAAAACCCCAAAATCCACTAAAACATCCCCGAGAAGAGAGGTGGAGCAAAGAAGACCAAGCCGTGCAGCACCATTGGTGCAACACCGGCTGACTGTGGTGAAAGTGAACCCCAAAACGGCCCCAAATCAGTTGGAGGCTTGCTGGGATCCTCCCCGTTGTCGCTGCATCTGTGCTTTCCCACCTCCTGCAGGACATGCGCAAACTTCCCGCCCGTGCGCATCTAACGCGGACCAAAGTCAACACAACTGGTCTGTTGCTTCGACAGCCCTCGACGCACACTCTTCTCTCCCGTCCCGTCTCCTTCTCTCCCCTTTTTTAGTGTACGAATAATTACACCACCCTCACAATCCTTCCTTGACTCTTCAGTGTACACTATTTCCCCCTTGTCGACGGAGCATCCTAAAATTCTTTTTTTATACCCACGATCGACGCCATTCCCTCCGTCCACATTTGCGAGGGATCTACAGAGAAGCTTCTGCCCGTGTTCCATCTTGCTTGACACGGACCCTCTTCCGCCAATCCTCGAGATCTTCCGTCCGATACCCTTTGCCTTATATAACCCGACCCGAGCGCTTTCTCTCTCTCACAGCCGTGGGCCATGACTACGACGGACGCGACTCTGTACTCCAACTGCTGACGACCTTCTGTTCGACAATCGGTCACAGCACCGACGCTCTTCCTTCCCGCTCCGAACCTGTACATACCTTCTCGACGCCGCTACCATGGATCAGGCCGATATTCCCGCGCTTCTGTCGCGCCTCGCGAGCGACGAGGACGCCGCCAGGAAAATGGCCGTCTTCAAGCTGCAGTCTTCTATAAACGACCCTGCCTTTGCCGACGTTTTCATATCCTCGGGAGGCCTGGTCATTCTACGACGCCTGATTATGAGTGCGGGAGGAAACACGTTGGCGTACTCGTTGCAGAGTTTGACGCGCCTACTGGAAGTAGACATGGGCTGGGAGATATTTGAGGGATCGTCGTCAGGGGATCTCGTGGAGCGTATTGTCGAATTGATCGTTACGAACCCTCTTGTCAACATTTTGCGCGGTGCTATGTCGATCCTGGTCGCCCTCGTCGGCCACACACAGTCTTCTCGCCCGACGACCCCTCGCACGCCGGGATCTTTTGGTTTCAGAGCCCTGAAGCCCGCCGTCGCAGTCTACCCGCAGTTCTTTGAGCTCGTTATCGCCCAGCTCCAGTCCGCCGACCACGCGCTGTGCGCCAATGCCCTCATGCTCATCAATGCCATGATCCGCGACGCTGTATCCAGTGACACCAACATCACGAAGGCGAACAACCCTGCGATGGAAGAGTGGTCAAAATTCATCAAGCGCTTGCAGGATCTCGGTCTTATCAAGGCAGTGTACAACCTGATGCAGAGCTCGTCACTACAGGATCTTGCGCATCCTCTGCTTGAGTTCCAGTCCTTGACTAAGGTTCTCCTGAGAAAGTGGCGGGAGGTGAGGGTTGACCTTGAGCGGCCCGAGCACAGGCGGGGACTGAAGGGACTTCACCTTGCCAGCAACCCAGAGAAGCAAGTCAATGGCATTCACCGGTTGGACGAGGTCAATGAGCTTGGGAAGAAGGGAAGCCGGCGTCACAACCCTGAGAAATGGAGGAGACTGGGCTTCGAAACCGAGAGTCCTACACAGGAGTTTGAGGTCCCTGGTTTCTTGGGCATGATGGACCTGACAGACTACGTGCGCAAGAACGAGGACAGCTTCCAGAAGATGCTTCTGGAACAATCCACAAAAGCAAGGAACGAAAGGTGCCCGGTCGCTAGGGCAAGTCTCGCAGTAACGATGATCCTATACGATCATTTCGAGGTGGAGAAGTCGGACGTTGAGGACATTAAGGGTTACCAAGGCTTGGACGGTATTAAAAACAACGAAAAGCTATTCCGTCCGCTCCTCCTCCAGTGGTCGCGGCTCCACACGGCCGGCCTGCAAGCTTTCTTCCGCGTATGGAAGTCCACCGCTGCGGAGCACCTGGATTTTGAAAAGGTGGCAGAGCTGGTCCGAATTCTCATCGAGCAAGTTGTCGGCCAGGCAAGCCGGACCAAGGACGTGTTGGAGGTCGAGGAGGAGCTGCTTGAGTACGACTGCACCAGACTACGAGAGCTTCAGATGGAGCTTTTGGAACTGTCGTTTGAGGATCAGTGGGGTCAGCATTTATATCAAGTCCGAGAGGAGTTGAGGCAAGAGGCACTTCAGTTTGTAAAGGAGCAGCGGATCCGATGTCTGCTCCAGGGATCTTGGTTCTCCAAGCCGCTACCACGGCGAGACACCAACCCTAGAGACGAGAACCTCAAGCGTCGTTTGTATACGCCGCGCCCTTGGCGGTTCGCTAAGCTGTCACACAATCGCCGGTACCTACACTACGCCGACTTCGAGGCACAAACAGCACAGGATCCGGGCCTTGACATTTTGACGGAAAAGGTCGATCTCAGCACCATCAGCTCAGTCGTGTCCAATGTGTCAGCCTCCAATGAGGAAAGCCGCAGCGCGACTAGTAGTTCGACGCTCAAGAACAACGTGACAGTCAAATCGACAACCAAGATCACCATCTTCAGCTACGCCAATCCCGCGGAAGCTGCCAACGGCGGCGATGCCAAGGAGCAGGCTATCCTGACTCTCAACCCGGTCTCGCACAGCCTGGCGTCGGAGTGGCTTGACGGTCTGTTGATGCTGCTCAACCAAGCCCCCATCACAGCCGAGACGAACAAGCTTGTGAACCTCGTGAGCGACTTTGGGCTCAAGATTAGGCTTCTCAATGTGAGAATCGAGGCTGCGTATACCGGGCCACCACCAGGCGCCGGAGTGATACCTAGCAGGGACGGCCTCGACGAAGACTACTTCTACGACGTGTGAGAAATTTCGTATGACCGGGACGGTGAGGGCTCAGGTCATGGAATGGAGAGCGGTCCGAAATCGCTGTTTTTTCCCTTTGTGTTGCTGGTTTTTTCTTTGGTGGCTTACATATACCCGCGTTTTCCTCTTGCTCTATACCGGCCAGAGATGTAACGAAATGGAGCCAAGACAGGGAAAAAAAACTCTTGATCAGTTGTTCTCTCTGGCTTGGCCGCCTACAATGAAGCATAGCGAGCGGTCCAGTTGCGTCGTTAGGTAATCATGGGAAGGAAAGGCTTGGATTTGGCAGGCGACGATTTTTCTTACAATGGCGAGAATGCTACCATATATGGTGTACAGGTCTTTCGTGGGTTTGTTTAGCTGTGCTGGCAGGGCTTCTTTTTTTGTTCTCTCTCTTCATGTATGCTCATGCCTCTCGAGAGCTAGGTCTTGAAGACTTGCTCGAGTATATTCCAGACGCCAATACTACAACTTATGAACATATTCTCGTTGGGACAGGTGAAGGGAATACCAAGTGTTTGAGTGCGCGTGACGTCTTCGGCTGCTGGGTTTTCACGATTCGTTGGACTTACACGCTTCTCCTGGCTTGAGATTGCGTACTGTTCCTTTTCAGCAATGTTGTAAGTCGGTACGATATTGTCAGATGGTCGTGCTAGTGGTGGTTCTCTTGCCCACGGTTCCGCGCGACTATAGGTTGAGATGGAAGTCCCAATTACCCCATCTTCTCTGGTGCCGACTTTCTCTACAACGTGAGTTCCTTGTGCCACTACTTTATAACTCCGCAAGGCAAGGAGTGATCAGGGAGCGAGCTCAACAGGTAGGTTCAAACCAGTTCTGTATTATCTCAAAGCTTGTGACCCGTACTCCTATCCATCTACGACCTCGCCAGCCTTTTCGAGGACCGGCTTTCCCATCCCGCCGCCCTCTCGAACCCATTCTTGTGGAAATAAAAGTCCTCGAGCGCTTGCCGGGCCTCTTGGCTGCTGGTCACCACAAACGGACCATGCTGCACGACAGGCTGGTCCAGGGGTTCACCCGCAATCAGAAGCATCCGCGCGCCAACAGTCGCCGTGTCCGGAACTCGCATCTGCACCGCGTCGCCCTCCAACCCAAACACGACAGCTTGGAACTGCTGTGCCTCCATCCGGTCGTCCTCGGTGGAGGAGCTGATCTGCGCAGATCCTTCGACGACGTACGCCATCGCGTTCCAGCCCTTAGGGACTTGCTGGGCTATCTCGCCGCCCGGTTGGATTTGAATGTCTAGGTACCATATCGGCGTATATGTCAGGTCCCTCACGCTATCGACACCTCCAGATACGCCCGAGATGACTTTCACAGTAACCCTCCCGTCGTGTAGTTTCGCGAGCGGGATCTCCGCAGCCTTGAGATCACGGTACCGCGGCTCGCACATCTTCAAGTGCCGCGGCAAATCCACCCACAACTGCAATCCCGCTCCACTACTCCCGTCCTCGGACGGGATCGGCTGCTCGGAGTGCATGATCCCCCTGCCGGCCGTCATGAACTGCAGGTCGCCGGCGTGCAAGATCCCCTTGTGGCCCGCAAAGTCCTCGTGCTCGACGGATCCCTTGAGGATGTAGGAGACGGTCTCCTGGCCCCGGTGGGGGTGGTCCGGGAAGCCTTCGCCGGTGGCGCCGTCCAGGTGGTCGAGCATGAGGAAGGGCGAAAAGGCGCGGAGGTGGTTGCTTCCGATGGAACGGCGGACGCGGGCGCCTGCGCCTTCGGATTGCTCGGGGGCGGTGAAGATTGTGTGGACTGTTCGGAGGGTTGACATGATGTAAGAGTTGACTGTTGTTGGATTTTCGTCCGGGCTTCGGTGTTGTAGGTGTTGAAGTTCTATCAGAAAAGGGGAAGGTTTTCCAAACACACGGCTGTAGTGTCAGTCAATGGAATGAATCATTCATGGAATCGTTCAGCTTGATTCTTGTCTGAAAGGCGAATGATACTTGTATGCGAGCTTCTCACGATCATGGCCAAAGTCGTGTAAGTGCCCTTCTAAGCCAGTGTCAATACAGTAGCACTTAGCTTATAAATACTATTCACCTCACCTAACGCTTACGAATGCTTACAATATGCTTTTTCAATGCCATATGTCTTCCTTAAAGGAGCGGATCAAGCAGCTATGAAGGAGCTTTGTCGCATATGAGAAAAGAGTCTACAGGACGGACGAATTTGGACAGCGGACATTTGAAGAGTGCCGGAGGTGGTCCCGCGCGGGATCTCCAGGCTAATGTGCAATAGTGGAGCACGGCGGCAAGATCACTATCTAGGAACTGGGGTTAGAGGATCCCAGCCGCGCGGGACGGTTCTTAAAGAACTCCTCATCCGTGGGCTAGCAGTGAGTACAGATATAAGTGCGTGCTATTTTTTAAATTCCTGATCATCTTGGATAGTGCTGTGAGTCTTTCTCAATAACAAGTTTGAGGTTGGCTGGTTGTTAGAGGGTTGGGGGCCTTGACTTCGGGCGTTTGGCTGGCGGCGCGCAGTCAATGTAGTCAATTTTGATATCGCTGCATCTGATTCGAAATGCTAAATCACCAGAGGTGTCACCAGAGGTGTCACCAGACTCAAGTTCCTAGACCTATCTTGCGGACAGGGATTTCAGAGTATTCGTAGGGCTGGGGAAGCTTCTATCCTATCCACCACCCCCGGAGGCCCCAGACAATGGCCCCCAATATCCACCCCTGCTCTGTTGGCTTCCCAGCCCCTCAATATCGGAGCTTCAGCCGCGGGGCAGTTTCCCAAACCAAACCTCAACCCCCCTCGAGATATACGAAATATCGATTACCTGCAACTCGAGACTCCGAACGCTTCAGCCGTTGTGAGCTGGAAAACCATACACAACAAAACCAAACCTGGATTCGACATTGAAAGTTTTCATCAGGACCAGAGACAAAGTAAACAAAAAAAGGGTTCAATGTCCCAAGTATGACATCACCCTCCCGCACCTACCGCCCTTGAAACTAAAGCTTCCCCGACAACCACGGACCAACGTTCTTTTACCCCCCTCCGGACAACGCACATGGTCCGCCGCCTCCCGTGGACGCATCCACACCTTAAAGTCGGCCACGCCGTCGAAAGCAAAACTCAACCAATATCCAGGAAGCGGGCTACGTCTACGGCCATCGCTACCGCTACCACCCCCATCATCGATACCGGAACCCGCGATATCAGCAGTTACTTCACAGCTACGAGAAAAATGAGCTACCGGACCCCGCGCCGCGGCGGCGGCCGACGGCTAACGTATAATAGCGGCGGCGGCAGCAGCAGAACGACGACCCCCTATACACCCAATCGCGGCGGCGGCAGGACATATTCCCCCTCGCCCCCTCCTTCGCAAAAGAAGCGTCTCGACGGGCTCTTCCTCGAAGGAAACTGGTACTGCAACTGCCAGCCGCGAAACACGGCCAAATTCCTACAAGTCAGCAAGAACACGGCCAACAAGGGTCGGTGGTTCTACACGTGCGAGAAGCGGCGCGGCGGCTGCAACTTCTTTCTATGGGCCGAGGACGCGGAGAACAGGGCCGAGGGGGCGACCATGACGTTGCCGCCCATGCCGCAAGATGGTGCTGCTGCTGCTGCAACGCCTCGTCGGGCGACTGGCCAGACTCCAGGTGGTTTCACGCCGGGTACGGCTTCCACTATCAAACCCTCTGCGATGAGAGCGGCGGCGGCGGCTTCTTCAACGGCAACGATGGAACCGCCGTCGTCGCCTACGGCGCAGAGAAGCGCCGCCAAGCAAAAGTTCATGGATACCTACTTCAAGAACAGACCTGTCCAGGTGCCCGCGGAAGAAGAGCCAAACGATCTCATGGTCACGGACGAAGAAGCCGAGCTCCACGCGACACCCGCGCAGAGAAAGAGGAAGAGAGTCCTCTTCGACTTTGACTCTGACGACGACAACGGAGAAGAAGCACAGGGGCAGGGGCGAGGAGGAGCCGGGACCGACGACTACGGTCTTGACGACGACGTCTCCTCGGACGAGGAGAGGGCCATGACCGAGGCCATGGAACGCAGCGCCAAGAAGCTCCGCATCGAGGATAGTGGTGTTGGTGGTGGTGGCGGCGGTGCGCCTTCCACGCCCGCTGCGCAGCGTACGGTGCATGGCGGTGCGCTGCCTACGCCGCAGACAGTCAGCCGAACCCTCTTCCCCGACGCGAAACGCCGCAAGGTCGTCGAGGACGTCGTAGGGGAGATCTCCCCAGGCAATGTCTCCTTTTCGACGAGCACCTCGTCAGCGACACTCGGACGCTCAACAGCAGGAGCGGGAACCGTGCCCCCTTCCTCCTCGCCGCCAACCTCGACCCCACAAGAAGAACAGCTCGATCCAACAGAGGAAGTCATGGCCCTAATCCACCAGGGTCAAAACGGCGTGGACGTCGCCGCCGTCAGAGCCGTGCTGGGCCGGTTCGCGATGAAGGCCAAGGGGCTGGCGCGGGGCCGGGACACGGTGCGGACGGCGCTCAAGGCCAAGGACGAGAAGATTGCGGAGTTGCAGGAACGGGTCGCGAATCTGGAGGCGCGGGCGAGGACGCAGAGAGAGCAGATTGCGGATTTCAAGGCTGGCATGATGGATTTGTATTCGAAGCATTGAGGGTGTCTCTCCGCTTCTCTCGGACAACGTCCCTTCTTGCTTTGGAGTGTGTTTGATATTTCGTTATTGTCTGGATTAAGGCGGTCTAGGAGGGAAGGAAGAGAGGCTTCGGATGGAGACTCGGGTATGGAGAGCTATCTACCCCGTGAGGTGGGCTAGTGATCCATTCTCCCAAGGTTGGACGAAGATGGGTTATAATGGAGTTTGGAATTGAGGATACCCCCCGCTCGCACGCCCTTCTGTTATGGTTTACTGGTAGTAAGTAGATAGCAACTATGGAGAAGATGATTTCTCATTCTCAGTGCACCTTCTTTCCGTTTGAAAACCCCTTTTCTGTAATGAGAGGTACTCCCATCGAGATTAGCACCGTCACATGAATCGGCTTTCGGTCGTTATAGAACACGCTATAGTCCTCCTTATTTGAGTACATGACTTCCCTCGAGAATGCTAGCTAAATGAAGTTATATGTACTGACGTTATTGCTCCCGCATATGCTGAAGTACCATCAACTCTAGTCTCGCCTCTCCCAAGTATCGAACGAATGGCAGAGAAAGAAACGGAGAGTTCTGACAAACCTCGGGAAAATCGAAGAATAATGTCACAAAACTCAATGAAATGTATAAATCTCGTCAACTGATTCAAAATAATTCAGGTATTGTAGACGCGAAAAACCATTAAACGCCAGAGTTTATGCGGCTTGATACCCTCAAATGTGCCAAACCCATGAAACCTGTCCCAGCCGACCCAACCACCCATGTATGTGAACCCAAGTTACGAGCCAGGGGATATCATGCTTTCTCTAAAAGCTTACTGGGCAAGAACCTCGCGCAACATGACAAGGAAGTTATCCTTGAGCTTGTGAACCTCGGACACGGGCGGCTTGGCCGGCTCGCCGGCGCTCCGACGGAGTCTATCGCGTCTCTTGGCCCGGCGGCGGCGCTCGGCCTCGATAGGGTCGAGCTCGTCCTCCTCCTCCGCCTCGTCTTCCTCATCCCCGTCCTCGTCGTCATACGCCATGTCCTCCAAGTCCATCTGGTCGAGGCCAAAGTCGGAAGAAGAGAAACCAGTGGGTACCAAATCGGGACCTCCGTTTCCTTCGGCCGCCATCTTTTGTCTCGTCTTGTCGTGATGCCACTTCTTCCTGGCTTCTTGCCATGCAATGAGTTGGTTAACCTCATCGATGACCTTGGCCTTATCGATGGCACCGGAGCTAACACCTCCCTCGAAGAGCGCATTGACATTCAAGGTGCCGTTTTTGGGACCCTTCCTCAAGAACTCCAAAATGTCCTCAATCCAGCCCATCAGCTGGTCAAACAAACCGTTGTCGTGTGTGTGGACCTCGTGCACAAACTTGTAGAAGTTGTGCTCATGTCTCTGGCAGAGATCAATGAAGGCCTGGACGGTCTGGTTCGGGTCCGCCGATGCGTCCTGCTCTTGGCATTTCTCAACAACCTACATTGCATGTTAGTGCTGTTACAGTAGTTTTTCACGAGACTGCCTACCTGAATCATGTCGTCAATGAACACAGCAAAGTCCGTGACACTGCTGTAAACGTTTGCCGACTTGTAGACCCGAACAAGGGGTTCGTAGAAGATGCTGAAGAGATCTCTGAAAAGCTGAAGTGTGACCGGCTGCTCTACCAACTGCAACATCATGGCCTTGTCATGCTGTCTTGTGCAAAGCTTCAGGTACTGCTTGAGGTACGAGAACAGCTGAGCACCCTGCTTCAACTCCTCGTCAATGTTCTCAACAGCGTTGTTGAAAGCGACGTAGGCGTTGTAGAGTCGGCCAATCTGTTCCGAGGTGAGACCAGGCTCAAGGTAATCCGAGCGGAGGATCACGACAATCAAGTCAATATCTTCAGCAGTCGCTTCTTCCCTAATTGCGAGTTTGATGTGCTCCTCGGCTTCGGTATACATCTTCAGCTTGCCAGTAAAGGCCGCATCGCCGATCTTAGCGCCGAGCGTGTCGATAGACTTTTGGAAGCTCTTGATGCCGTCATTGAGGGTCAATGAGAAGATGCGCTGAAGAAGAGATCGGGTGCCGAAAGGTTGCGCCAGGAACACGTCCAAGACACCGGACATGACAGCAGCCGGGTTCGCAATTCTGATAACGTTCTTGATGACGGTGTAAGGAATGAGCGAGTGGATCCTCTTGGCTTGGGCGAAAAGCTCGGGAGAATTGTCTTCTGCAAGGAACAGGTGGTAAATCGTAGCTGCGACCTCTATCCGGAGCCACTCGGCGAACTTCCGGTACTGAATGCTCAGGTCCTGGATGGTCTCCTTCTCCTTGATCTCCTTGAACAGTGACGTAAGACCGTTGCGCTCGACAATCTCTTGACGGAATCTAAACGCGGTTAGTACTTGGTAGTGGGGAGTACAGAGTGCAGGATTACGCACTCCTCCATGTAGATGTCGAGCTCGGCAGCGCGTTTCCTTGCCACCTCGTAAAACTTCTTTTGCTCTTCCACACGCATCGCATCGACTGCCTTTCTCCGTTCAATATCGTCGATATCGGCATCCGTCGGCGTGATCTGGTCCCTGGTGAGGAATTCCTCCATAGCCTTTGTTTGCGCAATCTGGGGGTTCGAGAGCAGTGTGCGAATGAAAGCTCTGAGAGAGACACGCTGGCTTTCACGCCACAGCGTCACTTGTTCGTTCTTCTTTCCTCCGAGGAATGGCAGGGGGCTCTTGGGCCTGCTGTCTGTTGACACGCGAGGCGAGTTGCGACCTGAAGTAGTAGAGCTAGCACGTTTGTGTCCTACACTGATTAGCATCCACGGCACCGTACGGGGATGAGAAATACTCACCTAGCACCGACAACTTGGAGTGGGTATCCTTTTCGTGAGGAGTAAGACCAGTCATCATGGTCGAAACAGACGACACCGAGGAGGCAGAAGAATCCGGGCTTCCACCTCCCGTCAGAGAAGAGAACAGGCCCGTAGTCGTCGTATCCGACTTGTTCTTCTTCGGCAGAGTGGGCAGAACCTTGCCCGGCAATTCGAGGCGTAGTCTCTTATGTAACCTGGCGAAATCGCTATATCTTCTACCGATGAAGAACTCGAGCTCGCCCTTTCGGTGAATGCGCATAATGAACTCCTGAAATCGATGTTAGCGTCTGCATTGCTCGCCCAGCAATGACAACTCGGGAGAGCCAGCTTACGGCATGCTTGTGAGATCTAATAGTCTTCCTCTCCGACGTGATTCGAACGGCAGCGATGTTCACATCCCAGCCATTGATGTAGTTGCCTTCCGGCAAGGCATGCATGACGCCCGTGTCGATGGCATTGCTGTCGACGACCTCGATCTCGGAAAAGCGTATCCTCTCCTCAAAGCCGGACGAAGTCTTGCAACCAGACACCATCATCAGCTCAACGAGCTTTTGACATTTGATAGCCAACTTGCGCCGCTTGGTCTCTTCGAGTCTGTCTTCGGAGGATGAAATATTCTTTGTCGCAAAAGATTCTAGGAACTGTAGTTGGGGGTGGTGGAACGAGTCAGCGGAGCTAGTCCGGAGGAAGTGAGGGCGGTTTGTAATGGCGCGGGGGAAGCCTCTTGTCTTTTGCACTTACTACTTGGAGCTTGTCTTGCCAAAACTCCTTCTCTCTGGCCTTGTCGAGAAAAGGGAAATCGCGAACATGGTGTACAAAGATGTAGCGGAGGATGGGGAGCTCCGAGTCGAGGGGGGATACCTCTCCAACGTCGGATTTGAAGGGGGCGCCAAATCGCTTGAGAGCCGTGGGGGAGTTGAGCTCCGAGATTTCGTACTTGACTTGCTCAGAAACGAGCTCGCGCTTGAGGTCTGGCGGGGTGGAATGTTAGTACCTTCTCCTCTTTCTTGGATCATGTCGAAAATGACAGGCGGCTTACAATGCTCTTGCTTTCCTGTCAGGGACTGGCCCGGCGGGGGAATAGACATGTTGCTCTTTGAACGAAGGGGAAGCTCCCTGGTGACCGGGGCTTGGGCTGGGTCTACAGCAGCGCCATTCTGCGGTTGTTCTTGGGATGTCGAAGCCATCAGCGTCGTTTCTGTTTTCTTTCGAGTTGTTTGAGCCGTTCTCGGGGGCTGGCAAAGGTCTCTCAGAATGCCCTCGTTTTTCTTCGGTGCCAAGATCGTGGGAGAGAGGAGAGAAAGGTGGTTGCGGATTTGCGGAAGGAAGAAAGGGTCGAGAGAAGGTGGACAAGCTGACTGGCGTCAGAGCAACAGCTGGGGACCCGCGACGTAATAATCAATTTACGGACGGTACAGCGGTACTGGGGGGTGACTGGGTACTTGGGGGCTGGGCACGAGCCGGGTCTCAATAGTGTGTAGTGCGCGCGGCAGATCCCAATGGTTAGGTTGTGGTCGCAGGGCGGCGGGCAGGGAGCGGGCCCAGATCGCAGTGGGGGCGCAGGCGGCGGTAGGCTGTAGGGTCGCTGTACGTAACGCGCGTATGGCGGGGTAGTTACAGGCGCTGCCCACTATGGTGCTGCGGTGAAGTGCACCTAGCTCTGGCAGCAACAGTGAATGAGGTGAGGTGGAGGGAGGAGGTACTTGGTTTGGTAGTGTGAAGGTACCTTGGCCAAAAGTCAGTGCTGTCAGGTGCTCGTCGCGGGGCCCTGTAGGTTGGGTTCAAGCAAGTGGGGGGGAGCCCGGCCGGAGCCTTATTTTAGTCCCAGTTCCCAAACCGCCTAACCTTTTTCCTCACTCGTTACCCTCGCCGTCTTTGGTGTCTATTATCAATCGCAAGGAACCCAGAGCCCTCCTTTTCTTGGTGTTGCCTCAGATGCTCCCCCTCCCGGATGTTGAGACCTAGCTAGCTCCTACTAACAACTAGAAGCTGGGTGGCATCAAGATAACCTATGACGGGAGCTCGGCAGGTTACGTAGCGCCCAAGAGGTTGGATGAGACGAGACAGAATGAGCTTAGAGCTCGGTGAAGCTAAGCAAAAGATGTGATTGGGCGTTGGAAGGGGGAGCGCGTAGGTGTGTGCTGTGCGTCAGGTCAGCTGTGCGAGAGGC